GCGCTTGGTCGTTGGTGGGGCGTTGTCGCTCGCTGAGTAACTCCTCGTTGGCTGTAGTTCGGGGGCCGTTGTTGAGGGAAGCATCAGGTGGGCCATCGAACAGGTCTAGAGGGGCGGGGAGTGGGGGAGTTTGAACCCCGAGGAGCCCTGCGGCGGTGTTATTCACTTCGCCCGCAAACGGGTCGTTCATGTCTCTTTGCATGACCTCGGAATAGTCTTGGGGGTCGTTATAATCGCCCAGGTCGGGGCCTTCATGGTCCGCGTCTAGCACTTGTGCGCTGGGGTCCTCCACTCGCCCGGTGGGGTGGCGATTGGAATTGGTATGAGGATTGTATCGGTCTGCATGAGAATGATTAGTCTTTGGTTTCTGTTGGCAGCCGGGGTTCTTGGTAACGTTGACTGACATTGTGTTGGGGTGTGGCGCATCGCACCGCCACCTGTAACGCCTGGACCGAGGGTGGTTCCTCCATTGGCTTGACGAGCTTGAATTGGGGTACTGGGAACGGGCTGGCCTCCGAGGTTCATGTTGTTGGCTGAGTAGTTACGGTGGGATGACTGCCTGTGGTCGGGCAGGGATGAGGAATGATTCATTTGGGTTAATTACCACTGGATGACAACCGGTGGGGATGATGACAACGGGTGGTGAGGTAGGATGATTAATTATTGCAGAGTGGGAATGGTTAGCCTATTTATACCCTCTGCATGTGGGCAGTTGGCACTCCCCCCTCCCTCATCGCAATCATCACACTCATCACCTCATCTTACCTGCGCTTGCGGCCTTGTTTGATAACTATCAGAATTTTATTCGCAATCCGTTCCCGTTCCCACGTGCTCTTGGTTAAACATATTGTTTTTCGACCCCCCGCTCTATTACCCATACGTATCTTGTTCGTCTTCCCTGGAGGTTGACCAATATACCCTGTGAGTTATAAAAAATTTGATTGAAAATGCAAGCAAGTCAGCGTCGGATGGTTGGGTTGTATTACGAGGAATGGCTGCTGCCGGGTCAGCAGCCGGCTTATCTCTGTCAGCTGTGCAACAGTAAGAAGACGTTCCGTTCAATCAAGAATCATGAGCGGTGGATCAAACACAAGGAAAGAGACCTGGCCCGCCGTGAACGATTGCGTGTTGAAGGTCAAATTGGAGAGGGGCGGGATACCGGTCGGGTTGACCAGGCCTTGGGGCGCACACTGTCGGTCGGGGGCGTTGGTCAGGCCGACGTGCTTGCGAGATTGGATGGGGGCTTTTCAACTGATCATTACGAAAATGAAATGGACTGGCGCTCTGATGATGGGAATGGAGAAATGGTCGAAATACCTGTGCGCAATGACGACTTCGACGAGCGATTTTCGGATGTTAGTTTGGATGGTCTGGCTGAGCTCGTGCGAGGTATACGACATGCGTCTCCGGTTGGTTCGGACTTCTCCAGTGCAGCTCCATCGGTGTGGGGGTTTGGAATGGGTGATGAGGTTGTTGAACCAGGTGGTAATCGGGCCATGGAGGAGGCGGATGGAGAGGCTGAGAGGACAATTGGCGATGTGGGCTGGTTCCCATTCCGCGAGAAATGCGTAAGTCGCTGTTTTACCTTGGAGGCGGGGTGGCCAAGTGAAGAGGGGGCTAGAGACATTGTTAACCCCCCATTGTTGTTCCAGTACTTGGTTGGGATGTTGCTCATGGGCCACTTGCATAACCTAATGTCAGTGCAGGACTTTGACAAGGTCAGGACCCTATGGAGTCATTTTGGGACCTTCATCCCACATTGGACAACCCTTAGGAGGGCAAGGGATGCAATCAGGAGCATGTTGAACATGAACATGATCTACAGGCTCAGCCTGTTTGATAATAAGTGTTATTCCCTCAGTCTGCAACAGACCATAACCATGGTATGTCTTAATGGTCACATTATCTTACCTGGTCCTCAGATTTCTGACATCATATTTGTGCTATGTTGGTTTACAGGAGATGGCAAACCCTATTGTACACAAACATATGGATTTCTACCCAGAAGATACATATGGTTTTAATGTATATAAGCTCAGCCAAAGTCTCAAATGGCGGGAGGATTTCCCTGCTGACATTCGGGTGCAAATGGTTGAAGTGCACTCAAAACACTTTTACATTTTTGAGCCCATTGAATTGGATGACAGGAAAATTGTTGTTCCTGTGTACTTCTACACATTCAAAGGCCAGCTGTACTCCAAATGTGTCAAGCCCAAAACTAGGATCACCAGGGATAAAGACAATTGCTCACACAATCACATGATCATTCCCCAAGATTTACCATTTGACTCTTTGGACTTATTTGTCATACCATGTTCAAGATTTGCAAAGATATATTCTGAAATATATATGCCCGGGGGTGTTCCCTGTGCCTCATGGTGTGAAAATGCCATCTGGGGTGAGTATGGCTGCCTCTTGAACCAAGAAGAAGAATGTTACTGATTAATTGATCCTGCCCATGTAGGTGCTAAAGCAGGAAAAAGCCAAAAGATAGATTTCCCCAACCCATGGAGGGTAAGAGCCAATGGCCGTATGATCCGACATGTGCCAATAACCTTGTATGCGGATGATACATCGGGGAACCGCTCAAAGCAGTGGAATAAACATATCTCCTATTATTATACCCTTTCAGGTCTTTCTCCCAACATGACTAACCAGCAGTACAATTGCCATTTTTTGGCCACTTCAAATACCACAGGGGCCTTAGAACTGGCTGATCAGATTGTGGATGAACTAAAGTAGGTGGCCTAACCAGTGGACTTGCGGGAGAAGTAATTGTAACTATATTGTGTCATTGCACAACTAACCTCACCTCTTGGTCCAGTGTCCTAGCCACCCAAGGTTTCAATGCTTATGATGTTGGGCGGAACGAGGATGTCCTGGTAATGACTATGGTTCTCTGTTTCCTTGGTGATTCACCAATGCACGCAGAGATTGCAAACACCCCAATGCCCTCCGTCTCGTTGAACCCATGCAGGATGTGTGATCTGTCTGCTCCCGGAAAGGATTCCAAGTCCACTCTTGATTATGTTAATGACTTTTTGGGAAAGGACACAGCAGGACATAAGGTAATTTTATGCTTTCCCCCTAGCACCTTGATCTCTGTTCTGATGTTTCATGATACCCTATTTCCCATACACATCATCCCTGACATGATTTCCCAGATGGGAAATCTTGTAAATTTTAGGGAAATCCTGTAAAAAAAATAAAGATTTTTATAAATTTTTTGGATTTTCCAGATTCTTTAGATTTTTTCAGATTTTTTTACATTTTTCTAGATTTCCTAGACTTTTCTAATTTTTTTAGATTTTTCCAGATTTTATTACTAAGAGACATCTATAAAGTTGAAAAAATCTGAAAAAATCTGAAAAAAAAATAAAAAAACTGGAAAAATCAGAAAAAGGGCCTTAATAAAAAAACACGGGTTTTGCGTGTTTACACGCGGTTTTGCTGGGGCACAGCACACACGGTTTCCGCATTTAAACACGGTTTTGTAATTAATTTTTTACTGCTTATTTTTTGAGTTTTTTTGAATTTTTAAAATTTTTTCCTACACTTTGAAGGGTGTAGAATTTAATGGTAAGGTCCATTTACCATAAAAATGACTTTAATTTTTTTTTTTCTGCTCACTCATATGTACAATTAACTGTTACTGGCTTGTTTTTCATTATTTTTTGATATTGTAAATTTGATTCCTACACTTTGAAAGGTGTAGAATTCAATGGTAATAATTATATTGCATAAAAATGAATTGTATGCCTTGTAATTTTTTTTCCCGCTCATTTTTCCTATTAATTGTTACCGGCTTGTTTTTAATTCTTTCTTGACTTTGTAAATTTGTTTCCTACACTTTTAAAGGTGTAGAATTTAATGGTAACATTTATTTTGCTTAAAAAGGAGTTCTTTGCCTTTTAAGTTTGGCTCCCACTCATTTTATTGATGCAAGCACGGTGGAAAGTTCCCAGTGGTTATTCAACCTTCCAAACTTGAATTTCTCAATGGAAAAAAGACACAAAGTTCTATAATATTCTAATGAGGCCAAATTTAAATTTTCAAAAGAGTGTGGGAATAAACAAGCGTAGTTTGGATTTTAAAAGGGACACAAGCAGGAAATCAGAGGAAGGTATGGAGGACAGTAATTCAAAAATTAATCAACATCAACAGGATCCTTTTTGAAGCGTGTAGATCTTCTGAGAGGGGGGTACAAGGCTTCTTTACCCAGGTCAGTGTGGGCTAGAATATAATCCTCCCAGCCCTGCGCTTCATCGCTGACATAGTGTCTCCAAAATGCATCAATCCTGGGGCATGGTCATATTTCAGCCTTGAAAGTGAACGGGATGAAATGAGAGTAGTCAGGTAAGAGGATCAGACAGATGGGAGGTTTGTTTCTTTGGCTATGCAAAAGAGGAAGATAAGTCGCAGGCATCTTTTCCGATAATAAAATAACTGGTCTTTGGTACGTATCAGCAATTAAATAACTGTGCGCAGGGAACGTCATCCAGTACTTGAGGGGGGCTTGCTGTTCCTTGTCTCTCCATGCAAGAGAATTGATGTTGTCTTTTTGGTTGTCCCCTGCTCCCCATATGTTATCCAAAAACGTTTTGTCTGAATAGACCTTGTTTGACTTGAATTCCTTCTGCATTTCCTTGCGGATTGAGTCCCATTCTTCAGACTGGCGTCCCAAGCTGGCTGCAACCGCTCGGAAGCCACAATTTCCATAACCCTTGACGTTGTGAATGTGTAATATGTGTGGGATTGCCCCAGCGGGCTTGATGCTGTCTTTGTACTCATACTAACAAAAGTTCAAGAGGGAAACAGGGGGGATGAACAATGAGAAAAAGGGGTAAGTAGATAAGTTACTCACAAGATCAATCTCCACATTCTTGTTTGTACTCCAAGTCAGTCCCTCGCTCAAAGGAGTTTTGTCAGGTTTGTCCACTTCGGTGATGGGTTCTGGTTGTTGCTTGACCACTCTGATTGGCCTAATTCGCAAGGGCGTCTTGACAGTTGGGGGATTTGGTTCTTCTTCCGAATGCTCCTCTTCGTTGAATATATTTTCACATAGGGCTCCAATTCCATCTAAAGCATCATCCTCACTCTCCTCGTCGGTTTCCATGGCCTACGCAAAAATGAATCAGAAGCAGGAAAAATCTTCAGAAGGATATAAACAATTCACACCTCTGACTCATCCGTCTCATCCTTTTTGGCCGGTTTCTTCCTTGGTCGCCCAGGTTTGCGCTTGGGCCCCTCGTCCAATTCGGCCACCTTCTTTGGCCTGCCTTGTTTCTTCTTCTGCCCCTCGACGTACTCAAATCCAGATGGGTCCCTCTTGGTTGAAGACGTTGATTTGTGTTTCCATTTGGAGCCTTTGGGTCGGCCCTTGAATCAATGGTTCTTGTCAAACTTGGGTTCCTCGAGAGGAATGGTTGCATGTGTTCCGTCAAGCAGTTTGTGAAGTTCGCCTAACATGAAGTGTTGTTTGCCAGGTTGAAGGGATTGGAATTTTTCAAAAACCTCGCTGAGGAACGCGTCTTCATTGCTTTTCTGCTGTGTCTCCATGCCATCTTGGTTGTCACTAAGTTGCACCTGTCAAATGATCAGATGAGTGAACAAAATAAATCAGAATACCTCTGCAAAATTTATGGGGATTCCCTTGATAAATGAGGAACTTACGGCCAGATCAGTCTTGACATGCCACTGAGCATGGAAATCATCTGCGGTGAACTTGGCCCCCTCAAGTGTGGCGTTGTGGACTTGGTGGATCCAAGGAATCCCCATGGAAGATGAGTAGTTACCTGTACATGTGGTCATCGGAGGCTTGGCCAAGTGAAATGAGTAAACAATCTTCAAGGCAAAGTGGGAGATGATTCCATTAAGATTGGCTATCAACGGAGGCAGGCCGGTAAGTCTTTTGTATTGATGCTGCGCGGACTCAATGTATCTTTTGTGGAGCTGGTTGTCAATGGCCTGGTGAATTTGCTTGACTACTGCTGCAAAGGAGCCTGTTGAGGAGTTGATGAATCGTTTCAGGTATGCGTGGAGACTCTCAACTCTAGACGTGATGTGGTTACCAAAGTGCGGGTGCCGATTGATCAAGTATGCAACAAAGTGCTCCTTCAGAGGAAGGACGACCGATGTAAGACTCAAAAAGTGGTTGTAAGACCCTTTTGCTGAATGGAGAAGGGGATGGTGGAGTGTAAACTCTGCCCTTCTATACTATCAGATAACAAGACCCACCAAGCTTGGCTTGGCAAGTTTTAATCAAGTGATAGGGTAAAAGTTCAGGAATGAGTTTGTGTGATGAAGAGTTGTTGATTTGGTTTTGGTTGGCGCTTAAAAGTGTTTGTGTAAGGTGGTCAAATATTGCTTGAGTGTTACTTGACTGAGGATTTAACAGCTGGGAGGAGAGCCTCCTTATATATAAAACAGTGAGGGAATTTAGCTCCAGGGCAGCCAGTAATGAGTGATTTTGGCTGGCCTGGGCTATTACATGAGGTATTTTAGCTACATACAAATTATGAATGAGTGAATGTGATTGGTCAGACATGTACAAGAGTTAAAGTGGTGAGCCAAACAGTTGAAAGAATGATTCTGATTGGTCAGGTTATGTGGTGTTTACAAGTGAGTGTGGTGGTGTAAGCTGCAGCTGTCATGCAAGGAAAATACACTAATTTAGGCTGCAGGTATGATGTAATATGTAGAAGTGAAATGTAAAAGAGTGTAAAGAATGTATGTGTAAATGAGTGTGCACTGTACTGAGGGTGTCTGTGTAGCTTGAGGGTTGTAATTGGGATTGGGGCAATGTATTGATGGGTGAAATCCTCGTGATATGTTGTCCATTGTTGGGTAAGAGTTGATCCAGGTGTATGTTCCAGTGACGCCTCCGCAATGGCCAGGGGTGAATTTGTCCGTAGAGTCCAGTTCTTGAGCCTTATGGTGTGATTTCTGAGGGATAGTGAGAGATAATATGAAGAAAATATATATAAGAAAAAAAAGAAAGAAAAACTTTGAATTTTCACATTTTTGACTACCACACCGATATCAAGTACGCGGCCGTACCTGGATTCCACGTTTTGGAGAGCTCGGCATAATTCTCCTCGTACTCCTTCAATGTTGGCGACAGTCTCAATTTCTTCCATGCGGAATCAAATGTTGACCATTTATCCTCACTGGTGAAATGCTTCCGGCAATTCTTCTTGATGTTCTTCCAAATGTGCCAAGAGCAAAGGATACAGTCGGCGTTTGGGTAGACTTTCTTAATCGCATTTATGACTGCTTGTTCATGGTCCGTGACGATGACTGAGGGCAATTCTTCATCCATCGCCAGATGAAGATTCTCCAGGGCCCAGGTGTAGTTCGGTTCTTTTTTGCCCGAGAGAAAACACATAGCAACAGTGAACGACCTATTGCAGGAATTCATTCCAACGACGTGCAGAAGGGGCATGTGGTACTTGTTTGTCTTGTAAGTACAATTGAGGAGGATCATCGTCGGGAAGCGTTTGGCCAATTCCAGCAAACGGGGGTGAGCAAAAAAGAAAGAGGTCATGTGACCTTCAACACTGTCCATCATGAAGTAGAATTGGTGTTGGCGGATTTGATGCACAAGGGCCTCAAATGGTGTTTGTCCATCAAGCTGTTCCAAGCGCATCTTGCCTTGGTGATTGTAAATGGTGTTAAGCGTGGTGTGTGAGGGGGCCTCTGCGTCTTGAACTAAATCTGACTTAATCTTCAGGGGTGCAACACCAGCGTTGGTTAGTTCAGTGACCCTTTCTTTTTGTGATTCAGTCAAACGTAGATGGATCGGATGAACGTATGGATCCTCCGAAGCTGGGTGGTTGTGATTCGCATTCTTGATCTTGATTCTGTAGCGTCCCTCCCTCTTGTAGAAGTTGCCCAACATTTCAAAGGGACATCCGATCCTCTTTGATTTGCCCAACTTGTCAGGCTTTGGTACCGCTGGTTCGCCAGATAGGTCGCATCTATAAGTAACTCAGTCCTCCCCCTTGGACTGTGTAGTGTTTCTCTTGACAATCGCATACCCATGCTCCAAGGCCCACTGTTGCGCAGCGTCATGTAGTTGTGTCCTTGTTGCATAAGATAACTCAGGAGGGGGCGCAAGGGAAAGAAGAGCGGCAGACCGAGCGGTCAATGGATCAGCTGTAGACGCGGTTTCTTGGGGCGAGGTGACATCGTCTTGAGATGTCCTGAGGGGGGTGTTCATGTGGGCTTCAGATCTCCCCTCAGCTGTTGCAGCCGAAAGAAGGAGCGGGTTGATGTGGCTTTGACTTTCAGACATGTTATGCAGGAGTTCGGTGAAGTTGAGTGATGAATTAAAAAAGACGAGGGGTTCAACAAGAAAAACCAAGACAGTAGCCGTAAAAAAATCAAGAAAGAGTTTTTCTGATGGATTTCAAGAAGAAATTGGTTGAGATCTGGCTGAGTTAATCGCAGAGGGAGTTGGACTCCTACTAGCGATTGAGCGATGAATAACCAACAAGGAGAGGTGTGTCGGCAAAAACAGAGATGCTGGCTGTCAAGAAGTTCAAGAAATAATATTTTTGAAGGTTTTCTTGAAGAAGTCCGTCAAGAAACGGATGAGTTATTCAGAGTTGGGGTTTGAGTCCTACTAGCGTTCCAGCAATGCTTTAAAAAAAACGAGAGGTCCAGCGGCAAAAACGGAGATGGTGGCGGTGAAGAGGATCAATAAAGAATATTATTAGTGTTTTGAATGAATAAAATGGTTGAGAAACGGCTGAGGTATTTAGAGTTGAAGTTTAAAACCTACTAGAGTTCCAGCGATGATTAAAAAAAAGAGAGGTCCGGAGGCAAAAACGGAGACAGTGGCGGTGAAGATGATCAAGAAAGAAGATGATTGATGATTTGCTTGAAGAATTTGGTAGAGGAATGGCTGATTTATTCAGAGTTGAAGTTTGAGTCAATTTTGAGGTCCAGCGGTGATTAAAAAAAACAAGAGGTCCAGCGGCAAAAACGGAGACAATGGCGGTGAAGAGGAGCAAGAAAAAAGTTGATTGATGGCTTTCTTGAAGAAATTGGATGAGAAACGCCTGAGGTATTCAGAGTTGAAGTTTGAGGCCTACTAATGACTTCAAAAAAAAACAAGCAATGAATCAGCAAATTTGAAGAGTGTGGCAGTGAAGAGCATGAAAAATGGGTGCTTTTCGTATTTTGGTTGTGAATTTTGGTTGAGGGATGGCCAAGTTATGATTTTTTGAAGTTTAGAGTGTACCTGCAAGTTGGAAATGAACCAGAGGTGAATCAAAAAAATCTGAGTCTGTGGGGTCAAAGAGGAGAAAAAAAGAATGATTTTGGTATTTTTTTGTTGATTTTGGTTGAATTTTGACTGAGTTGTGGTGTGTTGAAGGTTTAGAGGGGGGGTGAAGTCTATTTTTGATTGTGGTGAGTGGCTTTCTTGTTTGGTGCCTGCAGGAAAATTTTCAAGTTCATGCAGGCACTTGTGGTACGCGCGCGCCCCCCTGGAGGGAAATTATGCATAATTAATAAAACCGCGTGTAACGAGGAATCTGCGTGTGCTGCGCCGCAGCAAAACCGCGTGTAAACACGGAAAAACCGTGTTTTTTTATTAATGCCCTAGCAAAATCTTGAAAAATCTAAAAAATCTAAAAAATCTGAAAAAATCTAAAAAATCTGGAAAAATCTAAAAAATCTAGAAAAATCTAAAAAATCTAGAAAAATCTAAACATTCTAGAAAATGTCTAAAACATCTGGAAAAATCTAAAAAATTTAGAGAATTTAAAAAATCTGGAAAAATCTTGAATTTTTTTACAGGATTTCCCTAAAATTTACAAGATTTCCCATCTGGGAAATCATGTCAGGGATGATGTGATAGGTTCCATTTAACCCACGGAAGTGGGAGGACACCATTGCAAACACTCACACACTCTGGCAGATAGGCAAGACAAGGTCCAAGAAGTTATTTGACAAGCGTTCAATTGAGTATGGCGTGCGGGATGTGATAAATCGGGCGTGTCTGATGATTGTCAAAGACCGGAAGGCATCCAAGACCAAGAAGGCACTCATCAACCAAATGCATAAGGACAAATCACTTAAATTGTTCAGTCCTATGCTCAGGCTCAAAGGTAGGCCCATTTGATCCACACAAGACAAACCTGGTACCTGAAACTGACAACACTCCCATAGGATTTGATGGCTGCAAGGATACCCCGGTGGAAGTATTGCACGTGGTTCTATTAGGAGTGGTCAAATACCTACTCCGAGACTTCATGACAACAACCATTAAGCCCAAGCACCTTCCCCAGTTGATAGCCTCGTGGGATTCATTCAATGTGCAGTCATTGGAATTGGGTCAAATTCAAGGAAAGTACTTCGTCAAGCATTACAAGAGCCTGGTGGGGAAGCACTTCCGTATTGTGCTGCAACTGGCTCCATTTGTCTTATTCCAATTCATGACTGCTGAACAGAGGGATCTATGGACGGCATTGTGCCAATTAGCGCCCCTTGTATTTCAAACAAGCATTGCAGATATGGTGGTTTACCTCAAGACCCTGCAGGACCAACTCGACCATTTTATGCACCTCTTGATCCAGATGTCAGCCCAGTGGGTAAACAAGCCGAAATTTCATATGTTATTGCACTTACCTGACTCCATCAGGCGATTTGGCCCCGCCAGCTTGGTGGCCACAGAGAAGTTTGAAAGTTTCAATGGCATCTTAAGAAATGCATCAGTTCACTCCAATTGCCACTGTCCAGGGAGGGATTTGGCAATCAGCTTTGCCAATTATGAATGCATGAGGGCGCTGGCATCTGGGGCCAAATTGTTTCACCACATAGACAACCGATATTTTTACGCTTCCCCCCAGGTCACTAACATGTTCAAAGACCCAATGATTCAGAAGTCCATGGGCTTAAATGAGAAATTGCTCAACAAATACACCGGAATCACTGCAACTTACTTGTCAAAGAAGGCTGAACAAATGGCCCCACACCCTGTTCCCCCACACCTCATGCAAGCCTATCCAGGCCAGACATTCAAATTTGTCAAAAGCCTGACTGTAGACTCCAAGAAGATTCTGACCAGAAACACTTTTGTTCAGGTGAAAATTGTCACTTCCATAACCCCAATCTGGACAGAGATACTAACATGACATCACATTTGAATAATCAGGTCAAATCATCCGATTTGTCAACCACCAAAAGAATTGGCAGAATAAACAATATTTGGAATGTCCAATCAAACACCGGCAGTGGCTACATCATTTGCCTCACGTGGTTCAAGCTCATGGGTATATCAGACTTCTATCAATTGCGCTCAATCAGCAGTACACATGTCTTGGCAGATGTGTTTCCCCATGTGAGTAATAATAGAAATACAAATAACACATAACACATATACACAACACATGGCTTACAACCACTATCTGATACAATTATCCAGGAGATTGAAGCCACACTCAATGTTCAGCACAACTGCCATGAAGGTGGGTGTGGATTCAAGAAACGGGAGAGAAACATTTCAGATTATCAAGAAGGCGACCCTGGCCTGAGCTATGAAACCATGCACAACAATCACAACAGTTTCATATTAAACAGTACTTCCTTCCATGCTACCTCCAACCACCTTTATTTGGCTGAATTAGAGTATTACAGACCCACGGCCACCCAATGGGTGGCTGCCATCCAAATAGGACTGGACAAGTGGCATCTTGGGGCCCAAGGTAATAACAAGGGGAAGCAAGTGGTGTGTAATGCAGATACACTACAAGCAGATGAGATAATGGGTGGAGAAGAACAACACAATACACCTGACAGCAGCAGTCATCGATCACAATCCTGGGGCAGTCACAGCGCAGGATCACCACATTTAGCCAACAACCCACAACACCCCACCGGCCCCACCATGTCAACCAATGCCCCTCACCGCACCCATAATAACTCAAATTCACGGACAGGGAGCAGACAACCAAGTAGCTCAAGACCACCACACAACACTGACACAAGCACATCTGGATATGCTTCACAACCATTCACACCAACATACCACACAACAGGCAATTCATTTCACCAGGGAAACCCCACACACCAATCTACACACAGTCAGCAAAGCAGCAGGATATATGAGCATTACTCAACTCAGCCACAGCAGCAGCCATCCAATACAGCAGCCATGAATCCCCATCATATCCTCAGGCCCAGTCAAATAAACCATGGACCAGTGGGGTGGGGAAATCCCCCAGTAAATGTAGGCCAACCCCCCCAACACGGGAACACCTCATTGCATAGAAATCCGTCACAAACATTTCAAACCAGCCAACCCCCTCTGACCTTTCCCAATCTGGACCCAAGAGCATTACACAGGACCCCCAGCAGTTCATCCATGTATAACCAATACAGACCACATGACATGAATTATCCATCACATCCCTCAAATTATCCCTCACATCAGTCAAATACTTATTATTCACCAAGACCAAGCACACATCACCCACACAATCCAAGTTACGATGCCCAAGGAACAAGCTATCCATCCCTAGCCTCCAGTATCAACACACACCATTCCTCACTGTACAATTTTCCAGACCCAATGGGGGAGGCCAATCAAACTGGGCAAGGACAGTCAACCAGAGGACCACATGATTACAGGTGATGCCACAGCTTCCACATCAGTAGGTACCCCAAACACAAAACAGATAATAATATAAATATACAACCAACACATAAAATGCTTGTCTCACTCACAATTGTATCATAAGCCATCAATTACCTAACAAGATAGAAATTAATCTCAATTAGCCCAATGTAATCTAAGTGAGAAGCCCCAATGCATAGAGAAAGTTGTCAATTAGCCCAACATAAACCATGTTAGAAGCCCCAATGTAATGTCATCCATCAGGATAGGTTGTTAAGACTTGTGCAGCTTCTTGGTAAAGAGTACCAAACTGCAGCTGGGGAGATTCATTCATTACCACACACACATGTCAAGAAAAGCTCATCATGAGAGGAGCAACCACCATCAATGCCCAGTAGAAATGCACCACAACGCAACAGCAAGAATTGATTTTAATGACAGAAACAACAACAATCAAAGCCAAGAATGGCCCACAACACGACCGACAAAGCTAGATGAGCAGCCTAAGAAAATGGATTTGTTGAGACCGAACCACAAACGACAGGATCAGGGGCCTCGGGAGGCCTTCTAAGTGAAACGTGCCTTAGAGGCCACCTCTACGTCAGGCGAGTCAGAGTCAGACCGCGCTCTCTTGATAGCTTCGTAATCCTTAGATTGCCAGGAGGATGGCGGGCCATCCAACATGACAATCCCTGGCGAGGAAGACAGAGGTTGTTGTTCGCCAGTATTGCGTCCAACCTCGGATGCTCAGATGCCTGATGGACCACTGTTCACGCGTTCGTCAGTGACCAAGATGTGGGGGCTCGACGGCGGGGCATTCACAGCAGTGCTTTCGACGTCCTCGGTAGCGACCGGGCTGGAGAGAGGTGCATCAATTTCCGGTTCGTTGGAATCGGAGTCGGAATCAGAAGAGCATGGCGGCTCGAAGTATGAGGAGCTCCTAGCCCTAGCAGAGCTTGAATGAACAGACGGGGACTGCACCAAGGGAGGCGTTGGGGTGGTCGACGATGGGGTCTCGATGACCCAGCTGGAAAGAGAAGGTGCGGGCCCCATGCTTAATTGAGTCGTAGTTGGGTCATCGTCTGCATTCCGGAACGGAGAAGCCGGTGTATCCACGCTTAAACGACTTGTAGTTGCCTGTTCGCCGGCATGGGGCAACGGCAGTTGCCCCCCAAGAACCAAACAATCCTCTGGGGGCGGTGGAAGTTTGCCGTTCGGCACAAAAGGTGCTATAACCTCGTGCGGCCAGATATGAGGGATCCAGGTCCACTGGGGATAAGTCAAACGGATCGGTCAGCATGGAATCTTTGAGCGGACAAACCCCACAAGCGCAATAAAAACATGTTACTCACGTAGCGGCGGTTACCAACAATTTGAGCCGGATCATCCATGAACAGCTTCAAATGGATCTTCATTGGCAGCACCGCGCGAGTGGCCATCCTCGCAAAATCTCTGAAATGATACCGCACATTCATGTTACGTGGAGTCGGGCCGCCTGGCCAGGTGCGATACCCGCGCCATTGGAGTTTATTAGCCGAATCCGCTGCTCGCAAGACCCCCACGAAGTCAAAATCCGAGCGGGTGGAGCCAATCAGTTCAATGACACCTCGCTTGAAGTCCCGAAGTGACAAGTGGTCAAATGGGACCTTGCATGGTGGGATTGGGGCAACTTCATCGTAGGTAGTCGTGATACACTCATGGTGGTATCTCCAATTCTCGGGGGTACGCGGCGCTTCCGAACGCCTAGCATAAGATGGCGTGCCATCGGGGAAGAGGACTCTGTGCTCAACCCAAACGTGGTACGACAAGTAAATGATCGGGTATCTTAGGCGGCGTTCAACTGGAATGATGGCCGTCGGAAGGGCCTCAGTGGCTTGATCTTCGGCGGGATGAGACATGGTCGGTAAGTGCGCCCTAGTGCAACTGACCTCGCCTCTCAGATGGGACTTATTATTGAGGCACTGACACGAGAAGGGAAAACTATGAATGAATTGTAATGCCGATGAAGAGGAATGAATGGAAACAAGCGGATGAACAAGGTTGTATTTATATACATTAGTTATGTAAATACAACACAGATGTCGTCGTTGAGAACAGAAAGAAAATGACAAGCTAGGGAGAGTCTTGTCCAAGGAAAGTCCTGCGTCATGACTTTCCTTGGTCATGGCGCTTGTCATGATGTAGCCGTGTGCGTAATGTGTCATTTTACGTACTGGGGCTACAACACCCCCCCACTCGACGAGACACCCATTACGACCTTGAGTTGAAAATCATGTATAGTTGGGGTAAGGTTCTTGGTGAAAACGTCGGCGAATTGGTGTTTGCTGTCTACCCAAGACAGGGTAACTTGCTTTCGGAATATCGCCTGGTTGGTGATGTAGAACTCTCTGTCGGTGTGCCTGGTTCGCTTGTTAGACACATCGTCCGAGCATACCTTGATCGCCGCCTGGTTGTCGCAAAAGAGGTTTCCAACGGTTTCGTTGCCCGTAATGTCTTTGATTAGTTGTCGCAGCCAGAGTAGTTGTTTGGTCCCGTGGCCCAGTGCCATGTATTCAGCGTGCGCGGTGGAGGACGCGACCGTGGCCAGTCTCCGGGAGCTCCAAGCTATGGGGCTGCCATGTAGGAAAATGATGAGACCGTATGTTGATCTTGAAAACTCACCCCCCCAGTTGGCGTCGGTGAAACAGCTCAACTTTGGGCTGTCGCGTACGGGTTTCATAACAAGGGGTCGAGACTTCGTCCTGGCCACATAGTTTAGTAGGTGGGTCAGGCACTTCCAGTGGGATTCTCCGGGGCACTTTGAGAAGCGGGCTAGGAAATTCACGGCAAATGTGATGTCAGGTCGAGACCCTGCCAACAAGTAGCTCAAGCTCCCGATGATTGACAGGTAGTCCGAAGTTTTTACCCCTTCGCCATCTGTGCAAGTGGTTGGAAGTGAGCCACCAGGTAACGGTGTCTTCGCATGAGACACCCCGTCCCAATACTCCGTTAGTATTTTCGAGATCAGGCGCGGTTGGATGAGCTCGAAACCGCCCTGGATGTGTTTCACTCGAAGGCCAACAATGTCCTCAAGGTTCTCGGCCCATTTTACTTGCAAAGTCAATGATAAGTCCCGTTCCAGTTGTCTGATAGCGTCTTCGGATGGGCCCGTGACAATACCGTCGTCGACATGGATCCAAATTGCGATGTTGCCTGTAGGGCTGTTGAGAATATAGACGCTTCCATCGTATTGGGAGCTTTCGTATCCTAGCCCAGACAGTGTGGCGGCCAGGTGTTTCCACCAGCACCGCCCAGCCTGTCTCGTGCCATACAACGCTTTCTTCAGAAGGCACGCATGACCGGGGGGAACGTCTAGGCCTTCAGGGGCAGCTACCCAAACTTCCTCATCGATGGGAGAATTCAGGTAAGCTGCCACGAAATCGAAGCAGTGGACAGGCCAGTCGTTGATTGCCGCTACTGTAAGGATGATCCTCATCGACATGAAAGTAGCCGTTGGCGCAAAAGTGCCGTTGAAACTTTCTCCTGCTATTTGCGTGAAGCCTTTAGCTACGTATCGAGCTTTGAAGCGTTCGACTACCCCCGCCGAGCTAACTTTCACCGCGAATACCCATTTCGCTCGTAGCACGTTGGCGCCACGCGGAACGGCCCGTATTTCCCATACCCCAAGGCGGTCCAGGTTTTGTAACTCCACTCGGATCGCCTCAAGCCAACGCGGGGCGTGTTCGTGCTTGATCGCTTGCTTGTATGTCCGAGGGACAGACGCGTCAAAGAATTCAGGAACAGACTCCGAAAGGCCCTCAACGAGCGAGTCTTGTTCCAGGACCACTAATTCGTCCTCGAAACTGCCGAGCTGCAGGGCCAAAGCATCGGCAAAAGAGAAAGTGGCCTTCTCCTGTATGCTGGAGGGGAAGTCGACAAATGTTGCGACCGCTGACTGAACATAAGACTGGAGTTCTGGGACCCAGAAACCCCATCCCTTAGAATCCGGGAGGTAAGACACGACAAAACCCCTAACAGCTCTGTCATCCAACTTTCGCCGCTTCTCTGCCGGGACATGGACAAAAGCCACCGCTCCGAAAGGTCTCAGTCTGTCCAGGTTCGGCTTCTGACCAAAGAACTTCTCGAACGGAGTCATCTCCCCACTGGCGGAGTTGGGTATGCGATTTAGCGTGTAGCATGCCCATACGAAAGCCAGTCCCCAGAATGGTTTGGGGAGGGTGCTATCTAACAAGATCGTGCGCCCCATATCCTGTAAGGTCCGGTTGTACCGTTCGATGGTCCCGTTCTGATAGTGGTGGTAGGCGATAGATCGTTCGGTGGAGATGCCCTGCGAGGCCAAGAACGCGGAGAGGGCTTTGTTATTAAACTCCCCCCCATTGTCCGACCGAAGTATTTTCAACCGTCGCCCCGTAAGAGTATTTAGACGGAGAACAGAGTCGATGATCACTCCCGTTGAATCAGACTTCTTGGGTAATACCTTGATTTCGCAGTATCCGGAGCCGATGTCGCGTAAGGTGAGGATGTACAAACCACCACTAAGTGCTGGTTCTTCGAATGGACCGACGAGATTGACATTCCAGGCGTCCATTGGCAAGAACGAGCGGCTGTCAGAAGACAGCGTGTTCTTGTTGACGCTTTTGGATATGAGGCAGGCCCCGCACTGAATATCTCCTGGAGGGAGGCTCTTGGGCAGGCCTAGGGCGACCCCAAGGTTCATCATACGCCGAATGACGCGGAGACCTACGTGGCCATATCGACGGTGAACATGGAGGAGCAATTCTTGATCCTTGCTCAGGGATGTTTGCAAGAAAGGCTGGTTGGTGGCTACAGGGACCCGTATTTGAAACGGGTCAGGAGACTTGGCATCAGGCGCATGCAGTTCGGCATGGGCCGACGTAGGCTGGTGAGTAGGGTGTGCAGTAATGACAGTAGTGGATTCAATTTCAGGGGCAGGAGAAAACGCAGAACATGAACGAGCGACAGTAGCGCCGGAAGGAATGACAGGAGAAAAAACGCTAACAGAAGAACGAGACACAGCAGTACGCAAAGGAGTGACAGCAGTAGGATGGTGACGGGCAATGGAAACAGAAGAAGAAACAGGTGTTGGAGAACGTAAAGGAGCAGGGAAGAACCATTTGCGGGATGCGACATCCAGAAGGCAAGAGGCCCATACAATATTACTCAAAGAAACAAGGAAAGAGTCCGTGAGCTCGTCAAAAGTAAGACCAAAGCCCGCGAGTCGAAGGGCGACCGGGGAAATGAGTGTGTGAGCGGCGTGTGGACAGTAGAGAACCCCTTTAAGATGAATAAGAGTTGAGTTGGGACCACGAAAAGTCAGGGTTCCCTTGGCTGTGACAAAACGCGGAGTGCCATTAGTGCGACACGCAAAGGGATAGGGGTCTCAAGCTCAGTAAATTCGGTCAATGCTAACCTGTCGCCGGTTAGATGATGAGTAGCACCAGTATCAAAAATTGTTTCGCCAGTATCCGCGTTAGCGGTAAAGGTTACATTGGAAAATGTTGGATGCTCGGTGATCTCCGCTGCGGTGTCGAAAAGCATGCCCAGATGGAGTCACCTCCTCGCCGGATACTTCAGCATCCTTTGCTCCAGGACGGTTTGGGGGGCCAACCTGCTTGTTTAGACCGATCGATATGAATCTGCTCGACGTAAACGGCCCCGCGGGTGTAGGGGGGCGAGGGAGGTAAGGGGGGTAAGGCGGGAATGGTGGGGCAAGGATGGGGTAGTATGCCTGGTACTGAGGCCCCAGCAAACCTGGCGGTGGGGGAGGGGGCGGCACACCACGGAAATCTTGGCGAGGGGCAGAGGGGAATGTCGGAGGAGCCGTACAGTTCGAAATGAGATGGCCAGTGGCCCCGCAACGAAAACAGGTGCGCTGAGTGCTCGGGGCCGGTGATTTGAAATTGGCGGGTCGACCAGCCAGAACATAGACGTTCTCGGGGTGACTTTCAACGGAATCGCTCCGGGCTAACGGCTGGGACTGGGGAACACCAGCGGAGAAACCCGAGGGAAGGGGGTCCCGGTGGCGGTCGGACTCCCGGGCGCGGACTTTCTCACGGCAGGCGGTGAGAATGTCGATGTGATCGTTGAAGGACAGAGGGTCTTCCCGGTCATAGGAGAGTTCCCGGTCTATAGCCATGTCGAACTCGTGGCGGAGCTCCGTGCCATGCGCGATGGAACAGTGGAGAATGATAGACAAGATAGAGTCCGCGGTGACGCGGACACCCGCATCTCGGAGATCAGCCAAGCGGTGGCGATAGAGGGTGGCAATGGAGGAAGGTTCACTGGTCTTATCACAAGGGATCCGGAAAAGATCTAGCCATTTGTTCAACTGAGCCGCTCTGCTGAAAGTGGTGAACCGACGGCGAAGTTGTTGCATGATGGCGTAACTGGAGCCAACGTCGTAAAGATCCGCCTTGATGGGTCGGCAGACCGAAATGAAAAGAGCTGACTTGGCGAGGATGTCGAAACGATCGTGAGACCGGTCAGCGTCGTACCAGTCCTCCCGATTGAAACAAAGCATAGCCAGTTCCCGGATTTCCCGAAGCCAGTCTCGAAAGTTGGAACCATCCTCCCGGAGTTTGTAATCCTCACGGAACTGGTTGGAAGCAGCGTTAATGATCATAGCGCGGGTGCGGGGGTCATCAGCAGGGTGAGCAGGGTGAGGGACATCACGGTAAAAATGAGGAGCTGCATCCCGGAGTGGCGGAGGGGTGCCGCCTCGATTTGCACCATCGCCGGGGCCAGCCTGGTTGCTGTTGGATGTCCCCGCATTCTCGTCGCCAGGCGGGGAGGGGCTCCGCGCGACACGCTTGCCGGCTGCGTTGCTGGTTCCGGGTCGAGTGGTGACGTTGCTGGTAGTTGATCTGGTGCCGACAGGGGAACGAGAGATAAGAGGAGCCATTGTGGTATAGTAAGGGAGGAGTAACAGGGGGAACCGAAAAAGGAGTAGAGAGAAAATCTTGGTATAGCAGAAGGTATGACACTCGAAAGCACCCGCAGATAACAGAAGAAAACACCCGATATAACACCCGTAGACAGAGAAACAACACCCGGTAGAAAAACACCCAGAGAAAAAGAAAAAAAAACCCGATAGACGACAAACTTTGTATATATGGAAGAACTATGTAACAATGTAAAAAAAACTGTGTATTTATACGAGATATATGCTCATAACCTATTGAGGCACTGACGCGAGAAGGGAAAACTATGAATGAATTGTAATGCCGATGAAGAGGAATGAATGGAAACAAGCGGATGAACAAGGTTGTATTTATATACATTAGTTATGTAAATACAACACAGATGTCGTCGTCGAGAACAGAAAGAAAATGACAAGCTAGGGAGAGTCTTGTCCAAGGAAAGTCCTGCGTCATGACTTTCCTTGGTCATGGCGCTTGTCATGATGTAGCCGTGTGCGTAATGTGTCATTTTACGTACTGGGGCTACAACACTTATAACAACAAACGGTGAGCATGTCAAACCGCTCCGCTCCACCGCCTGATCCGGATTCCCATGACGAGCCTCAACGCGTGGGTGTCCCGCTGAGCTATCCTCGTCAAGCTGACTGCACAAATCAACTGACGAGAGTACACCCGTCAGAAACTCACTCAGTCCGCGCGGCACATTGCAAACCAATGGCAGGGCGCCGTCAAACCACTCACGCCCTATCAGTGGCCGTCAAATTGCAGGCAGTGTGACCATCACGACCCAACAGTCACACCGCCGCCAGAAAACAACTAACAAACGCGGCGGGATGACAGTCGAGTCGGGACCGCCTGCATGCATGGCAGGTGCCAGACCGGATGGTCGGCCCCGACCGAGCGTCAGCAGTCAGTATGACCGCTAGGTCAACACGACAGCATGCCCAACAGGGGATTGACCGCTGGGTCAACCCCGCCTGCATGAAGACTGGCGGGATGACCGCTGGGTCAACCCCGCCTGCATGAAGACTGGCGGGATGACCGCTGGGTCAACCCCGCCTGCATGAAGACCGGCGGGATGACTGTTGGGTCGGCCCCGCCGGAAGGGACATGGTCGTGACGACCCCACAGTCATGCCGACGATGTTTACATGTGGCGGGCTGACGACTCAGTCATCCCAACTGTCGGCCGACCGACGGACCCACGAAGGCCCGCGGTCAACGACCTGACGACGGGTGGCTAACCCGGAGGAGCTTGAAGTGCTCTGGTGGTGTACATACATCTGCGAGTACATACACTGCTCCAGAAGATCACAAACACCCCGCTCAGCCCCGCTCTCCTGGACACACTCTGATCGGAATCTTACGAAGACGGCCTGCTCGCTCCCGTCTGCACAACCTTTGCATGTCCCTATACATAATCAGTTTTTAAAAGACAACCAACCTCTTGTAAAACAAAAAAAAATTGGACGAACAGCACATCCCTGTGGCTTGTCGTTGATCAGAAGCAGCTGATCATCGGCCCGGCGACGCTGGCTTCTCAAGCCGTCAGCTGGCTCTATATGTAGATCCACTAATTATCCTGTGACTTGAACGACCGTTCCATAGCCCGTTTTCTCTGACTTCTTTCATCTACAACACACCTTGCCCCGCTTCAGCTCTGCCCTAAAACACAAGAATGGTAGAAGACCAAGGTCGACCCGGGGCCGAGTCCTGCACCGCGTCGAACCAAATTAAAAACCAAAAAAAACTGGTCAATTAGTCCGGCCGCGTTCTGTTCATTTCTGAGAACTGGATCAGCGTTCGACAGGAGCGTTTTTTATAGACATCCCGACAGCTCGCCGATGTTAAAAGAAAAGCACCGCCTGCACGAAAAATATGACTAACCGAACGACTGGGGTGAGAGAATGCACTGCTTAAGAGCGGGATCGGCTTGGCGGAGGGTGGGCGCGATGACAGGCCTTGTGTTTGAATATGGGCCACATCGGCAGGAAACTGTCCAAGCTGTGGACTACTTATAAACAAAGCCCTACAATCTGCCCCCCTTCCTCTCTGGTTATACTGCCTTTATTATCCACTGTCACACTTTTCTACGCTTGCTTAGTATATTGCCCCAGGGCAAAGTAAAGCGTCGGTTTTTTCATCATATACCAGTTGGACCTTTTTTTTGCGGTGAAGAGAGAAGACTCTTTTAAAGCCTACATATTTACTCATAGTCGTGCGTGTTTGGATTGATTACCACACTGCTTTATAGAAAAAAAAGGAAAAGGAAAGGCTGAAAGAAGGAAAGGCTTGCCGACCCAACTGACCGATTTTCCTTCCCCCTTTCCCTAGTCCTCCCCAAGAAAAAAAAGACGATGATGATGAGCGTATTCGGACAGATGCAGACGATCGGCAGTCTTATAATGATGCTGCTCCTTCTTGGATGGCCGTCGACATTGATTAGCGAAGTGGAGGGGACTCCGGAGCCGTTGCCGTTGGCTGCGCCGGGTCCGACCCCGACGTTCGGCTGCCAGAGCCTGCACAACCAGCCCAAGGGATGGTGCGGGGTCTGGGTGACCACCGATCCCAAGCCGTACTATGAAGGTGCGACTGTCCTTCTTTCCTTTCTTCCACATCCCGGTCTCGTCTCCACTTGCTTGTCAACACTTAAAACATCATCATCACACTCCCGATGTTTTTTTTTGTTGATGATGGTTATCTGTTGTGTGTGTGTGTGTATTGTAGTCGGGTTGGCCGGCGATGCGGGCGGATATAAGTTCAAGTGTGGCGGGTACGATAGTCCGGCGTATTGGTGCTGCAAACCGGAGTTCAAGCCGGTAAGTTCTCGGTTCCTTGACATGATACCCATCCATAAAGTACAGCGTATTGACGGGGTGGTCTTTGTTGGTATTGGGGGATGGTTGAAACTTGAAGGACGGGTTCGATGGGAGTTATGTCTATGTGGCCCATAAGATCGAGTTCGCCAGCGTCAAGAACAGTTGTACCAAGGTCCCTGCGACCGGGATGACTCCCCCTCTTTGAAACCCGGTCATCCCTTTTCGTTTCCTCATCTCTGTCTGGCTTATACATCACTCGTCGGTCTGCTGGGCTTCTTCACTGATCTGCATCGGCTTCTGTGCAGTGTCCACCACCCGAAAGTCGACTCCATCTCTCTATCTTCAATCAATCAGTTTTTTTTTCTTTCTCGTTCTTCTCTCAAACAACTTGTCTCTTTATAAAGTACAATTTACATACATATCTCTCTGAAAACCGAAATCGTATACGCAAATCAACACTCGATCATCGTCGATAAGTTTTCTTTTCTTTTCCTTGGACATACATATTTACGATGCAATCTTATGATCTTCTTTAAGCGTTGTCGTGACTGGTCGCGAGGGGTATCTTTTTTTAGGATGGTTCATGTGCTTGGGACGACGACGGGTTTCGTGCAACAACCCTCGCACAGCCTCCTGCTTGATCCCGATCATTGTTGTTGTTGTTGTTGTTGTTGTGTGCAGTAAATAAATACAATACCAACGCGCCTTTGCTGGAGGACGGGTCTTGTTTATGTGTATGTATACCAAAAAAAAAAAAAAAAAAACAAGCCAAAACCACTCTGATCAAGACACACACACACGCTCATGAAGATGATCGGCTGTTGTATGTCATGAGTGTGGTGGTTGATAAAAGAACAACAGAAAAAAATGAATGAATGAATGAAGAGGCAAGAAAGAAAAGCCAAGTGGTGTTCGCGGATCAAGAAGAGAGTTGGTTTGGACAAGGAGGGCTCTTCCTGCTATGTATGTAGTCCGAGCAGACTGAATGAACACCGACGGAAGGATCCCAGCAGCCACAAAGAACTACATTGTACTCGATCACCTGCAAGATTCTTTAAAGATGGGTGACCCAAGTCTGACCAATGGTGGTGATCAAGCTCTTGTCTGAAGAAGGCCTGATCATCAAATCTCTGCACCGATCATGCCGAAACAACAAACTTCGCTCGACTCCTCGACGCTCGAGCAAGCTCTGCATCCACCACACTGCCCGATCTCTCTCTCGCTCTCTCTCTCTCTCACCCGAAGCTCACACAAGCATTCTTTGATCTCGGAGTTTGACTACCGACTGTCTCGCCACGCCCTCGGTCTCTTCCCTCCCTCCGAAGGGGACCAGGGGGAGCTCTCTTCTTCACCGCTTCATTTCATTTCATTCGTCGTCGTCGTCGTCGGTCTTACAAACACAATCACTCCAACGCTCAACTATTTAAGCCTACACTTTCTCTCCAGGTCCTCCTCCCTCCTATCAATCCTCGCCGCTGCATTCTAAACTCGACTCTTTCTCCCACACACTAGAAGAGCACTGATCACTTGTTTCTTCCTCGTACGTCCATATCCTTCCTCTCTTCCTCTCTTCTCTCTTCTTCAATTGCTACTGCTGCTGCAGTGACTGTTCCCTCAATTTATCAATATTCACATTCGACAAATTCAACACACAAGAAACGTTGGAGATTGTGCATATGTTAAGTTCATGAAGCTTACTGATCCACATCTTGGTTACATATTTTTTTTTTTTTTGAGAATATTAGAGAGAGAGAGAGACCACGTTCCAACCTAAAAAAAGGGGGACCAGGAAGCGACCGCCAGAAGGAGTAGAAAGCGGAGTACAACGAGGGCGAGAATAGCAGAAGTGATACGGGTCCGATTCTACAACAACAACAACAACAAGAAGAAGACGATGATGGTGAAGATCCGGACGATCGGCGCCATGCTGCTGATCCAAAGTCTGGGCCAGCCGGCAGTCGTCGTCGTGCGCGCCCACGGCAGTGCGCCGCCGTTCTACGAGTGTCTCGAGCAAGACAAGCGGGCGGCTTGGTGCGGGAAATGGGTGGGCACGGGCCCCCAAAGCTTCAAATATCAAGGTTTATTGAATCCTCCTCTCTCAAGCGCTTTCTTGGGACCATGCTTTTCTTTCGCACGACTCTTTCTCTCACTTCTTCTTCTTGGCTCGACCGATCCGGGCCTCAATCCTCTCCTCTCCTTTTTTTAAAAAAAAAAATAAAAAAACTCACTCTTGGGGTTGTTTTGATTTTTGGTTGGATGGTACATAATAGTCCAGAAAGCGGGCGTGCTTAGGAGCGGCGGGCTGTACCAATGCGACCGGGTGTCAGATGTGACCGACTATCTGTGCTGCACCACGGCGCTTAACCCGGTCCGTTGTTTTCCTCTAAATTAACGGCCCGTTTCTTTTTTTGGAAAACATCTTTTCATCAAAATATATATATTGATTTTTTTTTTGGGGGGGTTTATTCAGAGTGGGTATGATCCGAAGCAAGACCCGCCGGTCAGCTTGGATATCGACCATGACCTGGTCTCGAAGACTTGTTCTCCCGGGAAAGTTCATCGTCTTTAGACAAAAATCAACCACTAACCGAGTTGCTATACATATAACATAACCGAGAGACATGAATTTTTCGATCCAACCAAATAGAAAAAAAAAACTCTGGCTTATGTGTAACATTCAACAACACCCTGCAGAGTCTTGACCTTCTTCCATCCGATGATCGTCGCACGTCTTTGCCATTCATCATCATCCTCTTCTTCTTCTTCTTCATCGTATTGTAGATATACAAAAGATTGTTTTTTTCCAGTTTCAGTTTCAATTTCTTGCACAAAAGACAAACGATTGCAGACACTAAGTAAAAAAAAGGCGTATTCATTCAAACAACCAGACCTTTGAAAAAAGAAGGCTGGGTTTTAGGAAGCGGGACGGGGGGGGGGGGGTCTTGTGATCTTTTTTGGTGATGATCACAAAGAAGAAAAGATCAAGATTGCTAAGGCGTACATAAACAGTAGTGCACAGAGGAAGTCCGCCGAACTCTGTTGTAGATGATCTGAAAAGCTCGTTGTTTGATCTGGCTTAAGGGGCTCTAATCTATTTGAGTATACAAAACTCTTTCGACCTGTGGAGATCACATTCAATAAGCACCGATTTGACGTAGTCTTGGATCGCTTGTGTCGTTCTGAATGCTCACAATTCCTCACTGTCCGTCTACATAATTATCCTTTTTTTTGTGCGTGGGTGTTGTCTCCATTGTAATAACTCATGATAGGCTAGGCTAGGTATTAAATATCTATCCTCATCATCCCTTCAACGGATTGGGAAAATCATGATTGTGGTTGGGTCTGGTTAATGGGAGTCCGGACCGGAATATGTAATCTACACCACGGGTCGGGTTTTTAGAAAACCTGTACATCCAATGGATGTTTTCTGAGCAAGAGCGTCCTTTGGACGCTATGAAAGCATCCAAGGGATGCTCCAGTGCCCCAAGCATCACTTGGATGCTTTGGAAACCATCCAAGTGATGCCTGGTGGTCAAGACCATCCTCTGGATGGTAAAAAATAACCATCCATTGGACACTCTCAATCAAGAGTGTCCAATGGACACTTTTGAAAGTGCCTAATTTTCACTTGACAGGTGGGGTGGTTGATGGTTGAAAAAACAGGCTAAAATGCAGTTGATTGTCAAAAATTCATTCCAAAATGCACATGACTTGGGGGGGTCAAAAGTCTAAATTAAGCCAGAAAATTAACTTTGCATAAAAATTTGAAGTTATCTGCCATTTAGGTGGTGCATCCATAAACACCACGGACAATTGCATGTCGCTCCCGCGCGGAGCGACATCTGGGGGTTTCATTGGGGGTTTCGTGCGCAGTGACTGCGCCTACTGCCGCAGTCACGCACGCGGATTCGTCAAGGTGACGGTTACATCCGGGGCGACACCCAAATGACCGTGGTGAAATCTGATATAGTCGACTTGGCAAGGACTGTGGTATTGCATCACAATGATGCAGGTAGCACTACGGACATTTGAATGTCGCAGCAGGTGCGTGCGACTGCGAGTCGCAGCACCCAACTTTGGGATTTTGGCACACGACACATGTAGCGACAACTGTCAATTTGATGCGACAGTATGTACGCTTATCCTGGCTGCAAGCTCGTGAGCCCGCCTTTGGCCATCAACTAGACCAGCCTTGAATCCTTCACTAAAGTAAAACTCACTCAAATCACATTCCTCTTCATCTATTTATACATCCCCCAGACTTGTAACTAGCCAAGATAACAATTGCAACAGTCCAGGAGGAAAGATGAATCCCTGGGGCTTGTCTGAACCAGGGGCCAACAATCCGTCTACTAGTCACCCCGCTATCATCCCACCGGCAGAACTTCAAGCCCAAATTGATCAAATGGTGAAGGCTGCCGTGGAAGTCTCCCTCAAAGGGGTGGCAGCAAGCGTGAAGAAAAAAAAATCCAGCTCAACATCAAAAAATCCGGCAATCTCTACCAAAGGTACTCCGGACAAAGGGAAGGCCACTCAGACTAGGCGAGTATCTGTTTTACCAGAAGGAACTTCACGCCCAGCTCTATCAACTCCCAAAAGATCCGACCGATCCAAATCTGCCCCACCAGAAATCAGCAATTCTGTTGGCAAGAAGCCAAACAAGGTGCTCAAGTCCATCAAGGAGTCCAAGGTAAAGACACACTCACCAAGACGACACCCTAAACAAATGCAAACCGGTGACTTTCCAGAAAACTACACAACAACCAAGGCAAGTTTCTCCATTTTTTTGGTTTATTTAATCTAGCTCATGTCTTTCCTCTTCAGAACGCTGTTTTCATCCATATTAAGATGCTTTGGGGGCTCTTAAAATCTGATTCGGTCCCCGAAGCCCCAGATTTAGGTGATCTTCAAGAATTCTACCACAACTTTTCGAGGGAGGATCACATAAATCAAGCAGCTGCCACTGGCTCTTCTCGCCATGAACTGATCAACACCAGTGAAGTTCAAATTCTTAAGGATGCTCGTACCGGTCGTATTCGAATCGGAAACTCATATCTCAACGTTGGGGACAATTTCATCCGCTATGCCAAGGGACTTATGGCTCGTTTAGGCTTCAGAGTGTGGCGTCCTAATCTAGACGAGGATTCCAATTCGCTATACAACTCTGCTTGTCGAATCGCTGCCGTTACAACTTTTCAGGAGCTTGCTGGAGCTAAAGCTTACGCATATCTTAACATCAACCCAGAAGCCGTTCAAAACATGGCCTTCCTGATTCAATCTTACAACCATTTCGTCCACTTTTTGATGTTGGAAAAATTTAAAAAAGAACAGAAAGAAGCAGGTAAATTGAAGAAAGATGTTCGTCACAAGAATGTCCAGAAGAATCGCGAACGAGTATGTCAATTTTGTATCTATTTTATAAATTCTAACCAAAGGCTAAAATTTTGATCACAGTTGGCTGCAAGTAGATTAGAGTTTGCAATAATCAACAAGTTACCCGAACGATACCAGAAGATCCTGACACCAATTTCAGCTCACAGTGATGATGAGGCCGTGGAGGGAAAGGGATTCTTCAAAATCAAGACTTTACCATATAGATCTGACAACGCCAACCGCTTTTTCCGCCAGTTGGACATCCTTATGATCAAAGCTGCTGAGCAACAGCCAAATATTCGACGTCGCATTCGGAAATTGCCCAAGAATCCCGAGATGTCAACTTACACAGCTGCGCCAACTGGTCTTCCGATTGATTTTTATGATCCTAAATGGTACCTTGAGTTAACATCTTCCCAGCAACAAAAAATACCCGACCTCACAAATGTGGCGTTTCTTCCCGATGCAAGCAAGTCCCTCCTCCCGAAGGCTCAACGACATGTACACGAATACGCAAAATCGAAGATGTTTACCAAATTATATTTTGAAATACAAGCTGAACCCCTACGGCCTTGTAGCATCAACCACCAGTGAGGATTCTGATGGTGAAGGAGGGGAAGAAGGGGAAGACGAGAACGATGAAGGCGAGGGAATCGACTTAGATGGTACCAGTCCTGATGTTTCGGAAGATGAGTTCTATGAGGAAGGTGACGCTGGAGACTTGTACAATAAGCCTATTGAGGAAAATGATGGCGATGATGAGACTGATGATGAGCAAGACGAAGATTACGAGGAGGAAAATGATGATGAGAGGTCAGAGGCTCACCACAGACCAATGGAAGGTGTCGAAGAAGATGAAGAAGTCTGGGCATAATTTTTCTTCACAATAAACCATTCTCACTATGCTCAAGTCTTTCAAAAGATAGTAAAAAAACAGTCCTTTTCTTTATCTTCCTGAGCTCTCATCTGCCTGCATGAAATTTCAAATTTAAAAGCAAAAAAACTAGTGAAAAAAGATGAAAAAATCAAAATCAAAAAAGTCAAAAAATGAACCACAAAAAAATTAAAAATTAAAAACAGACAAAAAAAAAGAAAAAAAATAACACTAATAGTAATAAAAAAAGAATGAAAAACACAACAAAATTGTTTATATTTCCTTTCCCGATTTTCTCTAGAAATGTAATTGTATGACTGAAACACTTGCCAAAAAAACTTGGGCGCTAAAAACCTTTGACCCTTCATGGGGGTTACCCGCAGCTCGCACAAGACCCAGAAGCCATGATTAGTACGACTTTAATCATCGTCTGGCACTAACCATATCAAACTCATCCAATCCATGAACATGATGTACCTTGCAGTTCAGGAAGGTGGGAAGTATCCCATCTTTCTGGGCAGGGCTACTAGTTCAGAGGTGATAGTGTTGAGTCGAGATGGGTGTGGTTGTTCTCGATTCGGCTATCCATTGACTTGATCCTTCAACTACTGCACCAAGGTGAGTGTGATCAATGATTGATTGGTTCCGTCTCTTCTACTACTGACCACGATACCCTTAGTTCCAGCGACGCCGCACGTGGGCACGCCGAACACGCAGGGGAAGTATGGTTGTAGTGTGCAAGCAACGATGACGGGGCTTCTGAGCAGCGGCAGCCAACAAGAGCCTATTGCAGCGACTTCGGGTGATCCTAAGCGACGGAGAGACGACACATACGATGTGGCCGTTACAATGGCTGCTCTCGTCGGTTTCGCCCCGGACAATGGTCGGCCGACTGGCCCGATTCGACCCCAAATAGTTCAACGAGCAGGCTCAAATCGTCTCCCACCAGGACATCTGGGGCATCAAGGAACTCGTCAACTGTCTCGCCCCCTCCGTCCTCGTCCATCTCTACTCCTGTCAACGTTGGCTCGTCGGGCTGTCCGCCGACTTCCTCAGTCGTCGTTACCTCCGCTCTTCTTCTTCAGTCTCTATCGGTACTTATCGGTACTAACTATCCTCATCCGTCGATCTGGGCTTCCACAATCCATGATAAAAATGCGGATATGTGTAAAGAAAAAGATGGTATTTGAAAAAAAAAAACAGAATGAATGCGAATGAAAGAATGAATAGTGAGGAAGGAATAACGATCAAGGGGCAGGAATGATCGATAAGTTTCGTCGATCATGTCTTCTTCCTCGTCCTCCTCTTCATCAAACTCTTCCAGTTGGTTGTCCGCCGGATGATCAAAGCCGGTGGTATTGATCGAGGTTTCATTATCGGATTCGGTAGCCAAGCAATCGAGCTCTTCAGGCCGCGGCTTCTCTGCTCCATACCGATTGCCCAAATCCGTCCCCTTCGGTCCTCCATTCTCCCATCTTCATCAGCTCTAATGGCTCCCCTATCAACCTCATGTCCCTTCACAAATCTCAAGCCACTACGCTCCTCCATCCGCCCCCGCCTCCTCGGCCTCAATCTTCTTCTTCTACTACTGCCTCTCCGGTTTGTACAACCATCATTGACGATCATCAGAAGGATGGGGATGAGAATGAGGAAGACGAGGAGGAGGAGGAACTTACGACAGAAGTCGGCTCGCTCGATGGGACTCGCTCTTCTGATATCTATTATCACTCGTTAAACATAATTGTTCTCTCTCGTACCATGAATCGAAAGGCCAATTGCGAGGAGATCCGCAGGGCTGAAGTAGCGGCGAGCGAGCTAGGCAGACAGCAGATGAAAGTTTTGGAGGCTGGCGCCGCCGTCAGATTGGATCCTAGCGCTAGAGTTAAGATCAATCCTGAATTAACTTGTGAAGCCAGGTCAGTCATCAATTCTCTCACCGCCCAATACGTTATCCTTTTTTTCCCATGAATATCTCACTAATCTTAAACTTATCTATCTATCACATGAAAAAACAGGTTGTTGACTCCTTCACAGGCAGCAAAGCCTTCGGCCAGCGGAACTCCTAGCAGCTCTACCGCCTCCTCGGCGATTACTAACAACGCGACCAAGGAGAAAACTCAGCTCTCAAAGTTTGAGGAATTGGTGGCCAGTCAGGTTCATGTAGACATCAATATTGTAGATTCCTAAACGCCAATCTTTTTTTTTAGGAATTCTTCTTTGTAGCACCCGTTCATGCTTCTCTTTCTCGTTTCTTCTCAGACGTTGTAGCATCTCGTTTTTTTTTTCTTTCATTTTTTCAATGGATCTTCTTCTTATTTCGTTTGTTCGTTCTTTTTGATGTGTGTGTATAATCATCATCTTTTGGAGCGTATTATTACTATGTACCTTAAAATGCTCTAAAAATCAATCATAGGTGATACCAATAGATAAGAAAGCAATAGTGGTATGTTTCAAAGACAGTGAGATCTAAAAGGAAGGTCAAGAGAGGAAAATGATGTGACATGAAAAAATTGCTTCAGCCGGATCCAGATATTTCCAAAAGAGGGGCTCGGTTGTGGGGAGTTAGTATAATTCCATCTGATTCAATTGAGAAAGTATTCCGAGGTAAGAAACGGTATGCAGCCACTGAAGTTACTTCCACTGGGTCAAGGAGAAGTTCTTCGTCTTTATGTAACCTTCCAACAACAGCTTGGCACTGGTATAGTGCAAAGCGAAATCGAGATGTTGGAATTTGGAGTCTTTTTGGATACATGTTCACGATTGGTGAACAAAAGATGGCATGTTTTATCTGATCCAGATGGTTTGTGTACATATATATTTGCTTGACGATCCCATACTTCAAATTTTGACCAACCTTTGCAACTACACAATTTTGTGGTTTGGTAGTTGATACCCTTGTATCGCCACAAAGAACAGAATGAACTGGTGTTGCGTACCCAAATAGAACTTTGGCGCCATGTGGAATTGGGAAAGTGTTTCGATGCAATACTGATGTGTGCCTTCTTCTCACCCAGGTAAAAAGCTTTTCATAGACTGTGTCGGTGAGATAGATTGAGGCAGGTGACCTGGATATTTTCTGTTCAGTATCACTGTCATCTTTTTGAAATATTTTCTTGTATCCCGGCTTGTCCAGCATCCGTTGTAATTGGCACCCTCGAGTCATCATTGTTCCATTCATCTGATCTAAATAGACGAAAAATGTAAGCAAATCATACTTCCATATCTATCTTTGATGTACCTACCAATCAAATTGTTTGTCTTGATTTTTTGCAAAAATCCGATCAGCCGTTCACCAGGAAACTCAGATAGACACATCACAGGCCCCCATTGACGCAATTGTTCAGAATAGTGTAAGGCATAATGGTGGTTTGGCTGAACTTTCACCCCTTTGAAAAGCTTTCCAACCGTCGCGCTATATTTTCCATAGTTTGTCTCAAATCGCTTAATGTGGACCTCGTTGATACGACGTGAGCAGATGATCTGAGTACACGAGACCAGGTGTCCTGTGTTGAGGAGGAATGCCGCTAGATTTGGTTTGCTTTCAAGATTGCCAATGTCGGTTATGTAGAGGTCAAAAATTATCAACGGTACAACATAGGCAAAGAGGGTGTACCACTGAGCGGCTTTCAGTCGTCCATGACTTTCTTCACCAAGGTTAGGGGGTAATTTGTCAAGACCATGTGGTAGTATGACTTCCTTCATACTTCGACGAAAAGTTTCAACATCACTCTGAGAGAAAAAAGAGCCATCAGGACCACCATCCAGAACAAGATCAGTGTCACTTTCGTCCGAACTTTCTGCAGCCATTGAAATTGCTGAGGTCTCGTCCAAGGACATTGCTGATGCACAACCACCAAGTCTCATACGCTTTCTTGATGCTAAATTTGCTGTAAGTCTTCGCTTTTGAGCTTCCTTCTTGGTGATTGACTTGAATCCCCATCGATATCGAAAGTGGCCCTGTAAGATACCTTCAAGCCAATTGTGCAAGACACCTAGAACAATATTCTTTGACGGATCCCAGTAGCTAAGACGGTTGAGCTGTGACCATCTTACACCTGATTTTTTGAGGAGTGCAGTCGATTCCGTCCTTGTTCTTGAATCTGCTGCAGTCTTTGCAGCTGCAAGTGTGTCAACCTTTGACCTGTTGGTTCCGCATCGCAAGAGATGAATATTACTTGTTTTTTCATTGCAGAATGAACAAAAATATGTTGCAGAGTGAGAGGCAAATCCGGCAATTTTCTTTACTGCAGGAATATCACCAAGCAAGCACAATAGCTTTATCCGTACCATTCGACCATTTGGAAACTGATGTGTTTGAATTTGAACACCGGATTCAAGCTGAATCAGCTCATCTACAAAGGGTTTTAAGAGGTGATTGATTGTTTCAGTATCAGGTGAAAAGGGACCAGGTGTGATTCCAGCAAGACCAAGATGGGAAACTTTGTTGCGCAGTGTAGGTGGGAGATTTAAACAAGAGAAAGCAAAAACCCCACTTGATTCAACACTTCCACCAATCTTGTTTCCTCGTGGATTGAACCAATCAACAAATAGAGATAAGGCCAAGTCCAAGGAGCCGGATTGATTTTCTTTGTATAGGTTTTTGAAAGCAGAGCCATTTTGAACATCAGTGAGAAATTCATTTTGATTACTGGTTTCTCTAGACCATTCTTGAATCGCTATCTCAGTGTCTGATTTGGAAAGAAGCCACGTCACCCAGTTCAAGATAGACTGAGAGATGTAATGACATCGAGGAACTCCAATCACTTCAGGATAAGGAACTGGGTTATTTTTAGTTGATTTTGGAGGGAATTTTCCGAGGTCTTTGATCCCACGCTGTAACCGTTTTTGTTGAAAAAGACTTTCTCCACAAGGTTCCTCATCTGAATAGGGTAAATATGTGCAGAAGTGGGGTACATCGCGGCTTGGTGGGTATAGGGAGAAGCATTCACGGCAGCATATAGTCTTATTGAGGGTTGGATTGATGTCGGCTTTGTCGATAAGGGTGCGCGGGTCATGGGCAATTGTTTGAAGTTGAGGAGCTGATTTCTTCTGAAATTCCTGGAGAATATTGAAAAGGAAACTGATTGCAATCCTGCAGTTCTCGCGGCTCACGCCACAAAGTAAGTGAAGCCAAGATACAAAAACAGCAATAAACACTGTCTCTTACATCAGAATTTTTTCCAAGCAATCAAAAATAACATCAGAACTCACTAATCAAATTGTTATCTGATGTGTGAGGACCTTCAAAAACTGAACTATGCGAGGATCCAGAGGAAGTGACCATGCTTTCTTGTGTAGATGACTTATTACTACCAGAATCTTCCATTACCAAAACCTTTTGATCTTTAAGTTTATGTGCTTGGATGGTTCGACGACAGAGATATTTTCCATACTGAGTTTCGTTGGTTCCTGGCTTGCAGATTAGGTGAGAGATGCATTTTGAACAAGTGCATAGCATCTTCTCTTCCCGGGTCCTCGGCATGGTGGAAAGTGGACTCGAGGGGAAGTAGGTGTTCAGGTTTGCGAAGATATGACTCAGTACTGGCGTTTGATTTCAGATTTTGTTTGCAAGTGAGCGGTACAAAAACTAATTTCAACATCTGTGACAACGCAAGGGGTGAACTAGGGTGAACGGGTGATCCAGCTTTCCATGTTACAGAATACAGACTATGTAGAGGCCAGTTGTCGCTGCAGTGTTTGCTGCTGTCGCTGCATTGTGCCCGGGGCCGTTTGTCGCACACAAGGGGCATTTGTCTGAAACGACCGCAGTCGCATCAGCCTGCTGCGACAGCCCAATGTCGGTAGTGTAGGTTGTGGGTTCAAGCCCAGTATGGATGTGATTTTTTTAAGGTTTGCCCTGCCAGAAAACCACCCAATGGATGGTTTATTCCAAAACGTCCATTTCAAGGTTTTGAGAGTGCCATCCATAGGATGGTCCTTGCAGAGCCATGGAAAACTGGTTGGACAACCATCCAGCGCACCGACCAAAAGTTGTCCGGAACGACCCGTGGTGTATCTGCTCGTTAAATCGAAAAGATCCGTAATCCAGCTGCTGCTGTTTTCGAATGCAAGCGGGGGGTGTTCTTCTTTGATGAAACTCGCGCTGAAGGTAGTGTTGCAGATGTTGAGTTATGGAGGCCGTTCTTAGAGGCAGGAGGATGATTGAGGTCATCGTTCGATAGAATGGACACCGATGCCCTTCGTGTTGGCCTCACAAGTTAACCCATCAGCCGACCTCTTTTTTTTGTGTCATTGATCAGGTTGCGTAAATATTTGAAGGACATCTCCCTCGGTCGTGATCAAGACCGATCCCGTACCTCCTCTCCATGCGTTGTTGGACTCCTTCACCCACTCTCGTGGCTCTCCCAATCAAAACTCTTCTTCTTCTTCTTCTTCTTCTTCTTCTTCTTCTTTTCTTATCCCGATCCTTCGTCCTTTCTTCCCTTGTCAAACTGCCTATATTGTCATTTTTTTTTTGTACACACAAACGACAGAGATTCAGAAGGCCTTAAATAAGCATCACCTTGCAGGAGTCCTGAAGACATACCTACCCCAGCTGATCTCTCGCCTGATCAACAAACGAAATTGTGATTTCCAAAAAAAAAGCTCGACTTCCGCAGCCATTTTAAAATCACACTCAGCCCCAACCGACCTGACCACAAAAAAAACCCCCCAAAAACCTGCGGAACGACCTGTTACCAAAGACAAAAAAAAGGCACAATGAAGTTGATCAACGGATCGCTTGTCGTTATTTTTTCCTTTGCAGCGATTCTAGGGGCAGGTCGAACGGCGGGAAAGAGCGTCGTGGTTCCGTGTGCTGGGTCCAAAAAGGATGTCTGGTGCGGCCGCTTGAATGTCCCAAAGAGCAACAAAGGCGGCGCGGCAATCTTCCTTCGTAATTAGCACTCTTCTTCTTCTTCTCTCCGGTCATCATCATCCAAGCTACTGATATATACACCACGGGACTATTCTGATGTCCCATGGACACTCTTCTGGACATCATCTGAGGTGTCCAGAACTTGCAGGGCAGAGAGTGTCCATTGGACACTACTCTGCCTGACAGTTTGCGGACGTTTTCTGGAAAACTGTCCACTGGATAGTTTCCAAGCCGTCCACTGGATGCTTTTTTGTTCTGCAATGAAAACAAAAAAATAAGCACACCCAGAGTTGAACCCATGACCTCATGGAGGTGCCACTGCACATCCCCAATGCCTGTCCTTACTGACTACACTACAAAGAATTAATCTTGCAACTAAACCCAAACTGTTGTTTATAGACCGAATTGGCACTTCGGAGTAAGCCACTTCACAGCCTTTTCATGATCAAGTGCATTTTTAGAGATTTTTTTGACAATCACATCACTTGCACTTTTGGAGTGTTTTTCGACAATCAACCACACTTTTGGAGTGTATTTCGACCATCGACCGCATTTTCAGAGTGTTTTTTCGACCATCGACCGAACTTTTGAAGCTTTTTTCGACCATCGACCACCGGCTCCAATCAGGAATTGTAACTCAAAGTGTCCAATGGACACACTGAAAACCGTCATCCATCGGACACTCTTGGTTGGAGAGTGTCCGATGGACGATAGATCATAGCGTCCATCGGACGCTTCTTATTTGGCCAGCGTCACTTGGATGCTTTTGGAAGTATCCAAGTGATGCTGGCTCACCAGAGCGTCCCTCGGACGCTCTGATCGCATCCGTTGGACGCTCTCCTCGAGAAAGCGTCCAGCGGATGGGGCCAGTTTCAAAAAACTCGCCCCGTGGTGTATCTTTTGAGATCCGCTCTCTTCTCGTCTGGATTTATTTTTTCTTTTCAGTTCAAAAACCTTTCAAACTCAAAACCAAAACTAAGAATCGTCCCGAGACGGTATTGGTGTGTGATTCGAGGGACGTGTTCAAGCAGCTCTGTTGTCCCTCTACCTTCAAACCGGTATGTAAATCACTTTTTTCCAAAAAAAGGGTCGATGAAGGAAACCGCGATGTTCATGAATTGATTTGGGTTTTTGTGTGATCATGGATGGGATTAATGAGCAGAGACCGGTCAAAGGAGTCAAAGACGCTTTCACAGCCTCGCCCATTGAGGTCAACAAGGCTTGCACTCCACCTTCGACAACAACAACAGTCAAGAAAACTAATTAACAAGAGAGGTGGCTGTCTTGCTGCTTTGATATTGAATATTGTTATGATCTATATTATAGCTGTAAAATTGAAAACCCTTCCTTTTGTCAATAGTTAGTTCTCCAATACATATCTCCGCTGGTCCTCCGTCTGCTTTTCTCTTCTTCTCTCTTGGGGCCAACAAAAATCCAGACTTGTAAAAAAACAAACAATATTTGTGGATCTACATATGTAACCATGTAAACTACTATGTTTGAGTTTTCACTGACGACAATTTGGTTTCGATGATTTCGAAAGATATCAAATAAGTGGAGGACTCCAGATTGTTGCTTGAAAGCCATCGATCCAACAAAAAGAAAAAAACCCCTCTTGTTTGAATGGTGGGAGACTTCCTAGCCCATCCGCTCCGCACATGCTCCTTAACAAGTTGATCTCGTTTGAGTCAGCTCTTAATTATGACGCGCTCAGGTGTTCAAGAGAGAAAGAAGCCAGAAAAAGCGGCAGATTTCTCAGCGTGCCAGGCTCTCTGCTGCACTGGTCGCACGACCGCCTCGGGCGAGCTCCGACCGGTATGTAACCCGCTGGCAGCCGGTCGCAGGACTGGTCAAACAAACACTTTTTTGTCCAGTCATAACTTACCTTTTGTAAGCTTGGATGTCTCAAGAAAACGTGACGATTCTAGAAACGACTCGGGTGCAAGTCTCTTATGGCGATAGACGGAGGCCGGGGTAGACCGAGTCACAGTCAATCATCAATGGCTGTCGAGAGTATGTACTCATCAGCGCGTCGGTCAAGCCACTTCGAAAGCGTTGTCATCTGCTCCTGAAGCTTCGCACTGCTTATAATTGCCGACGCCTTGCAGACAATCCGGACCCTGTATACATATACGTACACAGATCATACATAGTCCAAGGAGACGGTTGCGTGGTGTCGAATGCTTAAAAAGCTATGTTAAAAGGCAGTCGTCGTGCGCGGGGAGGAATGAAATGTGTATGGTCGCGTGGCTCCGGGGCTGTTTCTTCATTTTTTGTTGCTGTTGTATGGAAGTATTTTTTAAAAAAGATCAACTTCTTTCGTGGCGTCGCCTACCATTAAAATATAAA